CGACGATGGTCCTTGCAGCAGGTGTTCAATATCGATCCGACCAATTCAATCTCTAATTTAAAATTCAACCTAAACCCGAGCCGACCGAAAATCACGACCGAACCTCCGCTTTTGCTGCTGCTACCGCTACTCTTCTTCCTACCAACCTACCTTTCCCCATGTGCATATCCACTATCCCACACGGGCCAACCCCTCGTACCCCTCTCAATCTTATGCGCTTCAGCTCCGCCGCCCAAATTACATATCTCCCAAACCGTAACTAAACTAAATCCGCGCTGATAACACCCTCGAACACCTCCTTATTTCATGATTATAGATTGTACGGAATCTATTTCAAGCTACATAAAGATGATTGAATTTTTCTCATGCGCAATCATCTTGTAAAGAAAAAATATATATTTTATCAAATGCGGAATATGTAATCACATTCAATAAAAAAATGGAATTGTAAAGAAGTAATTTAACAAGATGTTAAAGATTCAATTACATAAGTCACAATAAGAATTAAAACAATAAAATTGTGTTTCTTGACAATCGTTTATCATTTAAATTATGCAACATTATATCTCTTCAAAAAACTGTAAATAAAATAATGTATAACCATGTTTAAGGACATCAGTAAATTACGAAATTTATGAGAACATAATCATTATTAAAGTTAATAATAATTTATAGGTTTAAACTGAAAAATTATAATGGTCAATATTGTAAAAAATGAACATATTAAGGGATAATACAAACTTAATATATATTTCTAATTTTTAGGACTTTTCTTAGTTCATTTGTTAGTATCTTATAAGAAAACCTTCCATAACAAAAAAATATATAATAATTGATCATCAACAAAATATCTTTCTCACAATCTTTTTGTTCCATTATTACATAATAATACATAACAAATATTTAATCATATTTTTAATTCATCAATTACAAATGATTACCTATAAATCCAAATATTTTAACTAATTCAATGTAAATCGTTCTTTTAACTAACAGGACTTCATGTGTCTTGTTTGTGTTATGATATAACTCAACTTCAAATATTGATACTAACATGTAACAAGTTTAGTCACATATAATTTACTATTTGTTGTAAAAATTATAGCAGTATCAACTGTGATTTATCTTAGTAATTAATTTGTTTTGTATTTATGATGCTAATATGTGTTTCTTTACAAAATTTTTCCTATTACATTAGATTACCTGGATCCACTATATCCCAAATTGTACTATCCTTGTTTATTTTTATTTATTTATAAAATTTCAAGTAAAATCATGTCTCGTTTAATATTACCTCGAATAACGAAACTTCGGTGTAACAAAGTATACAATTTCATGCAAATGGTTCAATTGAAATATTTCAAAATTTTCGATAAACATGTTAAAAAATTATTGAATGCAGAAGATGATGATGATGCTTATGTAGGCATTGTTATATGAAAACAAAATAATCAACTTAAGACTCATATTTTAAAATATTAATCCACGCAATCCATGCAAATTGACTGTTTATTTAATAAAAAAATACTTTGTTCGCAAAATAGCTCTAGGCATAGTAACTTTACTTCTGAAAAAGAAGTTTCTCTTAACTTTTCTCTACTTTCATGATGTAATTGCCACTTTACACATTTTTTATAATATTTTTTTTTTCTAAATAAGTTAAAAAAATATATAATCATGTCACCAAATAAACTAATTTCCACAGATCTGCAGTAGACTTGGAGTTATATAACATTTCGGAAATAAGGAACTTTGAAAGATTCTCAACTTCTCACCATTCCCTGACTAAATACATTAATAGTTGTTTATTAACTTTGAGTTCAGCATATTCTTAGTAAAACTTACATTCAATCATCATTTACGAAAAGACGTATAGTCAATAACCCTTTGTAATTTTCAAATAGTAATTATGAATTTTGTTGACCATTAATAATTGTTACCTTTTCTAAACTATAACAAGTAATCATATTCTTATAATATGATTATATAAGAAATTCGTAAAATTTAAAAAATGATAATAGGCAACCCAATTAACACAACCGTAAAACCAAAGTAAGTATATTCAATTTATATGGAATTCGCGTAGGTCAACACTTTTTAACAAACCGTATAAAAAAATCACATGCCTACACACAAAATTAATGAACACATTTTAATTAAATGATTCCCATTACTGTACGAACCAGCGCGCGTTTAATTAAAACAACGTAAAAGTAAAAAATTGCACATGCAATTAAATCATGTGAACTGGAAATAATAGAAAACCCTCACGAAATCATTGCATTTGCGTAAATGTAATTAATTTTATATATATTATATACCAAAAAAAAGGTTTAAGTGTAAAACTTTTATTCTTAAATGTATACAACTTTTTGAAAACAATATGCAAATCTGAACTAATTTTAAATGAAATATTTATTTATGAATTATTTATGAGAATATTTATTGCAACAAATTATATAATTTTATTTATGACAAAACCAATATAAAATAAAAATTACATACATCATTGTAAATGTGTATTTATTAGTTAATTTAGTTTGAGGGCCCTGCGCTAAATTAGTTTGGGCCCTCGACTAACATAGTTTGGGGCCCACTCCTAATTCTGCTAGGGGCCCTTAACTAACACTATTTGGGAGGGGGATCGCTTGATGAAGACCATACTTAAATTCGCCTCAGGTTATTCTATAAAATTTATCAAATTGTTTACTTTATTATATAAAAATATGAATAAAAAACAAATAATTATTATAATTGTTTAATACACAGCGCAAATATCATAATTATAAAATATACAAACGCTGCGTAAATATTTGTGATTAATTTTATTAATTGCGTAAAATTACAAATTATTTTGGATCGGGCTTTATGAGTTATGTAAACTATTATTATTGATTTAGAGAAACATTATTTGCGTTAATAAATTCCTAAAATTAATCAGATTTATACTATTTATAATCATATTTTTTCCTTTAAAATACATTAAATTAAGATATAAATTATTGAATTTATTAAAAAAATATATCTAAAAGTGCGAACACATCACAAACAAACAATGAACATTTTAATTCCCTAGTATTTTAGAAATTACATAAACTATACTAAAATGTAATTAAGAGACGAAAATAATTAAAAAAAAAATGTAATATTAAAATTTGTATGTGATGTATTTATAAAAATATTAGTGTAGTGGAAAATTTTATTGTGAATATAAATAATTAAAATATTTTCATGTCAATTCTAATGAAAACAACAAGAACTGTCCTCGATGTTCATGATGGAAAATTTAATGCTTCTATATTTATATTTCCGTACACAACATGGGCCAATTAATCTGAATGCTATTCCTCATGTAAAACACGATTTATTGTTTGGAACAGGTATGATATTAAAATGAGATTACTCTTGGATAGTATAAAATATTCAAACGTGCACGATGTGAACCATAATTGAAATATTTCCCTTGATACCCGACTTATAGATTTAATGCATTACCCGGAATAAGACTCCAGCCTGTCACGATGCGTTGTCTCACAATGGTTGCCTTTAAATTATATCCGTGTCGGATTGGATTCGGAAGCAATCTCTCTGGCTCATCCCCATATTTTGTGATCACACCTTCCGACAATCTTTTTTTCATTCCTTTTAATATGAACACATCCAGCTATAAATAATATATACACTTCGATATGATTGCCACATAATTCAATTGTATTTCGACAAGAAAATATACAATTTTATATTTTATCGCTGAATAATTTACGAGGTGGATGGAGTAAAAACTAATTTTATATAAATAATCAACAGTTTGGATATTAAGGATAATATTACACATTTATACTTGTATTGATTTTATGAAATAACACGCAATTATTTTTAACTATTGCTGCGCTTTATATAGTCGTAAATAATTAGTAATAAAAACACGATAATTATTACAATAAAATAACAATCTTCAAACTTTAGACTTTACAATAAACTATTTACGGGCAAATCAAGCATTTTTTTGCTATTTTAATTTGTTTGTTAGATCCAAATTTGCGTCATAAATTCAATATTGTGCTGACTAATATTTGTAGCGTATCTGACGAATAAGTCAATAGTTTAGATATAATATAGATATAATACGTATAAAGGCTAATGATCTAGTTGTCTATGCCTCCAAAAAGAGAAAAAAAAAAAAGAAAGAAAAAAAATCATTCAATGCAAACAATTTTCTTACTGACAATTTCTGAAAAAATGTTTTTCTAATGATTACTATTTCAAAGAAGAGACTGTTTTATTGTATACCGACGTCGTAAATACAGGTATAAAAATTCACTCAGTATGGAAATGTACACGTTTACTCTTCTTGGAAGTTATGCCTATTCAATGTTATAACTTAGCCCAGCTGGACTCAATTATAAATATAAAATTCGTTATACGGCTTTTTGTTTTACGACAACTTTTCGGGAACATATATAGGGCGTAAAGCGAGGTATTTTATTGTATCTGACGAAAAAAATTTTCTTTGATGATATTATTTTGATTTGAACATTTATAAATTTATTTATATTAAAAATATATTACCTTATATATGTTTTTGTTTGTAATGTTTTGACGTCATTCATTATGTTTACTGATAATGATTATGAACTTATTTAAATAATGAGATTTAATAATGTAAATATATTAATATAAAAGAATACACATTTTGTTCCATGTTAGATTTTAGGTAGCAAGATGATAAAACTAATTTTACTAATTATATATTGATTTATTTTAATTTCGTTTTTACTTTTATTTTAATAAATAATAAGTTAATCTAGAAATAGTTATAACTGATACTATTTCTTCATGAAATCGTTCGGATAAATGTATTGTATTGTTTTTTTGTTGTTGTAAATAAATGTACTTTTTAATATTTTTGAATTTTTTATGTTATTTTTATTAACTATTGTGAATAATCGCTTGACTACATAGTAAATACATTGTTGTATTGTGATTTGTCACGGTTAGATGTAAACAATGCTGTTGCTATTATTGGCTGAGGAAAGCATGTCGGTAAAAACTGGTTTTGTTTCGGTTTGTAAAATTTGTGCATATTTCCAGGAATCAAGGATAGGGAAACTGCAAAGAGAGGTATAGAGTTTAGACCCAAAGAATAACAAGCCAGTTGAATTCGAGCAGTCTGCCAGGCAGCACCGCAGCGTGAAAGTAATTTAAGTGTGCTGTTGTAGAAAGTCGTTGCCGAGTGAAAGTAGTTTGTGTATCTTATTAATCGAAGTTGTGCTGTGCTTGCAAAGATGGATATATTAGACGCAAACATAATGGATAAATCCATGAGGTCCGTGTTCGTGGGTAACATTCCTTACGAGGCGACAGAGGAGAAACTGAAGGATATTTTCGGCGAAGCCGGCCAGGTGTTGTCTTTTAAACTGGTTTTCGACCGGGAAACAGGTAAACCGAGGGGTTACGGCTTCTGCGAGTACAGCGATCAAGAGACTGCCCTAAGCGCCATGCGAAATCTTAATGGTTATGAGATCGGTGGAAGGTTTCTCCGCGTGGACAACGCTTGCACGGAGAAGTCACGCATGGAAATGCAGAACTTGATGAACCAGCCAACCGAAGAGAATCCTTACGGTGAGGCCATCGACGCCGAGAAGGCGCCGGAGGTCATCAGCAAAGTAGTCACATCTCTTCCGCCAGAGCAGATGATGGAACTGATGAGGCAGATGAGGACTTGCATACGCAATAATCCGGACGAAGCGAGAACCATGCTGCTTCAGAATCCACAATTGAGTTACGCCCTGTTGCAAGCACAGGTCGTGATGAAGATCATTGATCCCGAGGTTGCATGCAGCATGCTGCACGCACAAGGCCCGACGCCGCCGACGCTAAAAGTGCCGGAAGCGTCTACTGCTGCTTCTGGTAGTTCCACTCCTGTCGTTGCTCCAGTTGCACCAGTTCAAACGAAGAAGCCGTCATCACATCACGGTAGCAAACAGCAATCGTCTTCCAAGGATTATGATATGCGGGCCAAGGATTCGAGACATGGAGATCCGCGCGCGAAGGTTGCGGATGTGAGGCCTACGCCAACACCCGTCCAACCGCCAATTACAGATGCGTATGGTCGTGATCCTAGGATGAATTACCATGAAGAAAGGATTCAACCGCGTGTTGATCCTAGGATGAGGCACATGCGACCTGTTAATTCCGCGCCGTCGTTGAGCGAGAAACGTCCATCTCCTGGACCAGCGCCTCCTCCACCAAGTATGAATATGGGTATGCCGATGAATTTCGCAGTATCCGGCGCCACTGACCAGGAAAAAACGGCGCTAATCATGCAAGTGCTTCAATTATCCGATGAACAAATCGCGATGTTGCCTCCGCAGCAGCGTAGCAGTATTTTAGTACTGAAGGAGCAGATTGCAAATAGCACTCAGCATTAAACATACTAAACTATTTTTTTTTAGCTTTTTTATAATGCTTTTTATTTAATTATTTAATACATTAATAAAACAAATAGCTTTTTTTTATTACTCGTTTTCTTACAAACAGTTTGATGATCAAATTTATTAATTTTGATTTATAAATTAAAATATTATTACATTACTAAAAACGTCAAAAAACACATTCATAATACATTAAGAAATATAACAATTTCAATTCATTCATATAAAATAATTCAATTTCATAAAAAAAATTGTCGTGTTTGTAAAATATGCTTTCACACGGTTATCAATGCTCTTATTCATTGGAATGTTTTTATTTTCTTGCTTACTTCACGTCTGGCTGATATTTTATCGTTTGCTTATATATGTGCACTTCCCAGAGATGAATAATTTATAAAAGAAAATATTTTTATTAATTGTTTACAATTTTTATTTTATAACAAATTTTACTTTTAATTAAAAATATATTGGAATTCATAAATTGTGTTATGATTTATTGTATTATATATAGAATAGAAATAAATTCATAACAATAATAATAAAAAATTAATGAAACGCATATTTAAAAAATAAATAAAAGAAAAATAGACTTAGAAACTTATATTAAAGGAATTTATTGACTAAAATCACTTTAAATACAGACGAGAAATGTCAACTGCTATGATTTTTTGTCATATTTGTAAAAAAACTATACAAGATAACTACACTATTTATTATATGGCTGTGATTTTGTAAATTTAAAAATGAAGAAATGTCAATTGACTTTTGAAACACTTAACTTTTTGTTTAATTATTATTATATGGAAATGTTTAATTATGTTTATTTTTGTATTATTGCAGTAAATATTATTAGTAGCAAATTTTCAATGTCAAATTTATTTATTAAAAATACCAGCAGTGGAAAGGTCAATTATGTAAAGTGTAAGAAAAAAGTTTCTATACATTGCATATTTAATTTATTAAACATTTAATTTATTTATAATATATTTATTAAATATTATGAAATAACTTAACTTTGCACTGATTATAATTATGGACGTATACCATAAATTTATTTAATAGTTTTTTTTCATGATATAAATTTAAAAAAAAATATGAATTAAAATTGTACTGTTTGTGAAAATAAATGTCCAAATCTAGGCATATTTAATATTTTTTTGTTTAATTTTATAATTTATGTTTCTCTGTATAAAATTTAAAAACATGTTTTTGAATATATTAAGACATGTTATGATCATTAGCCAGGTCTATATAAAACTAATATTTATTAATGGGACATTCACAAGAACATGTTAAAACATATTTTTTTGTAAAAATACGAGTGTAAAAAGTTTTTGTAAACGTGTAGTATAAATATGTACGTTAACTATTTTTAAGTATGTGTATAATAAAGAATCTCGTTCTGAAATCAAATATTTTGATGATGTCAATCACTAATCTAACCAAAAAAATAAATTAAATAATAATATTTATGTTAAAAATAATAATTATTTAATTTTTATTAGTCCAAATTTGGGTCAAAAGGGTATCGACTGAACCATACTGTTATTAAACTTCAATTTTGTTAAATTTGCTCATGACATACATATTTATTAAAATTAAAACGACGGTTGGAGGAAATATCTATACCTTTTTTCATGTGAGGCAGTAAAACGTTTACATCGATGAGATTCGAATGGAATTGTCATTAGGAAGCGATCCGGTCTGTATGTATTAAGGGCAGAGCATCGAATAAATGGCTTTCGGGTCACAGTTTGACCCTTCTTCCCTTGGCGAAGACCAATCCAGAAACATTCAATTGCGCAAAGCGCGGAACTGAAGTGGAGAATTATAATATTAAAGAGGTCGTAAATCATCATTACCCGGCAATGTGCTATTTTCCGCTAATTTTAATTTGGAATGATATATAACCCGCTGCTGCTGCTGTTGCCGCCTCCACCACCACCGCCGCTGAGGAAGAAAACCGTTTTATCTTGTAATTAATATCTCCTTATGCATAGATACGAAACGAAACCAACACAATGTACAAACCAAGGACGTCTTGTGCCACAAATGATTTGATTTGTAACGCAGCTGCTCTTTTTAATTGAACGTTTTTATAGTTTCATTCAATTTTAACTTGAATCAAAACGGATATACAGTAGTCTCCCAAATAACGCTACGTGTTGTATAAAATCGTGTTTTAGAGATTTTTTCTCATCATATTATTGTCATATTCAATTTTATTGTAAGAGAATCACAGTATATAAAAGTGTTGTCCCAATAGTTTTAATGCCTCTACTCTACTTGCAAACCAAGTCATAAAAAATGCTTAATGTTGTACTTACCAAGTAAGATAACTTGTCACTTTTATGTTTTAATTTTGACATATGCATTTTCTATGTTTTCGGAAATAATTAATTAATTCTTTAATAAAAATCACAACACACTTAAGTTCAATTGTATGTTCAATTGTACTATATAATAATATTGTGGATATTTTTATATAATTTATAATTATTCGGCGATTGATTTAGATATAATTATAGTAAATAATGTAATTGGAATTATTCCATTTAATATTCCTCTTTTTCTTCGAGTTTCAAGTTTTTCCAAATGAAGTTAAATATTTCAACAAGAAATAATGTAAATTGAGTTCAACCATTTTATATCCCGTTTAACACGGTACTTTCTTTACACCTTTTCGCTTTACATGGTTTAAATAAAAAAAAATTATAATAAATGTTGAAAATAAAGTACACGGTTTTACATTAAAAAAAAGTTACAATTTCGATTTACACATTTTTCTCAGAAACCTATCTACCATGTCCCCCGATTTACATAATAGGTGTATACGCTTGATTTTCTAGCTAAAGTGGATCCACAATGGTCAATATAACATCGTCGATTTGAATTATGCGGTCCATAGAAAATAACCATATTATCTACTTGGCAGACTTATTTTCAAAATTATTATAGTGAAGATGTCAGGATTATAAAATAGGGGGTCGATAAAACGTCAAAAAACTCTAGAAGAGGTCAAAGATGTTAGACGACCTCACATTAAAATACATTTTACTATGCAAGTACTTAAAGTAGATAAAAAGTAAATAAGAAAAGACAAGTTTAATATAAAATACATTAATTAGGTATTATCATATGAAAATTAATAGTCATAATTGATATATTATACCTCTTGTATTATTTTTTTCCTAGTGTATATAACAACTTAAAACGTATTTCCATTATGTATTTTCGAATGTAAGTCGAATTTTATACCAAAACAAAATGACATATAAAGATCAAAATAAATAATATTTATTTCTGGCATATTTTTACGCCAGAACATTAAATCTAGTAACAATTAAAATGCTTTTTATTATTTTTTTAATGTAAGCACTAATGTCGTAAGTTGTTGTGGTCATAATTTAAAGGAGTTAATATTTGAATTTACAGCTAAAACCAATATGGATTTTCCAACGTTAAAAGTAATACTTATCTATTTGGTCATATTTCTTCTTAGTAATTTGCTTCTTCTCTGCCGGAAGGGCCTCTACACTTAGCTGCATCCTGTCGACGCCTGATGTCAGTCCCAGTTTAGGTAAATTCTAAGTTTATTTACCGTAGTACAGGCAAAACTAGTTAATCATGTGTATATCATGAGACTGGAAAATTCATTAATTTTCTATTCATATTTCCATAGTTTTTCTCCTTTTTATATTTTTATTAAATTATATTCAAATATTTTTTCTCTATGTTTGTTGTTATGACATCAACAAAATATTTCTTTTTATAATATATTAAAATAGATGTCATTAGTACAAATATGAGCAATTACATGCCTGATTAAGTTTTCTATGCATCATTGGTTGCATACAATATAAATCATTACAATTGAAAACAAGTGGAATGTTTACGACCGAACAAACCCATCGACATGAAACCTTCAATCATGCTCGATCTTTGACCAATTAGTATAACGTTCGTTGCAATGTGGACAAACGACATAAATTGTCATCGATCACATTTCCACGAAAATATCGTCGCGTGACGGGAAGCGGAAAATACCTATCGCATATCAAAAAAAAAAAATCTACATCTTTCCGTGCGCAAGCTTCAAACGTTGTTTATTTTTTTTTATAACCACATATTCTCTTCAGTAATATGTTTTTTATGAAAATAAATAAAATCATAAAATCATAATTATATAAAAAAATATGAAAATATTCTGTAATAAAAATAAAATCAAAAATAAAGGAAAAAGCTAGGATATTTAACTTGTCTTGTTTTTGTCTCCATTTTCACGAAGCCCTTGTACATAATGTTGGAAGTAGCAAGGATCACTCACACTACATACTCGTATTTATTTATTTTTTCTTTTACAGCATATTCCTTGAAATCCTATCCCGCAGCGAATGGATTTGTTATCGTGATTTATTACAGCTTCTCTGAAAAAAAAAAAAAAAAATGAATAAAAATCGACATGTCACAATCACAAAAAAAGACTGTACCTACAATCAATGATTAACGACCAACTGAGTAATGACTCAGGTACTAATGATTATGCAAATCAATCAAACAAATTTCAATTAAACAAATAAATTGTCGGTTCTTAAACCGCAGGTGTAATTACTGTTTAAATTACGGTTTTGCAATTTATCTCCGTACTCTTTTTTTTGTATGTGTTTTGTTTGCCTGTTAGAGAAACAAATCGATGTGTAACGCGTGCATTTTGGATTGCGTATTTGTTTTGGAAACCCCCCCAGAGCAACGGCTTCGTTTTATTATTTATTGGACCGTTGACGGTAATGAATAATGAGTACTTTGTTAATTGCAATTTTGATGATAATGAGGATATTAGGCCGGATGAAAATGAGGCGCATCGGGGCTCATGCATTTTCCTGAAATTGCATACTGTTGGAACGATGGAATGAAAGTGTAGACTGATTACAACTACAACAACTATAACTAGATCTATAACTACAACTGCATAGCTATTCCATAAAATAAATAAAACTAGTAATGCTAGAAAACAATTTTTTAATTTATAATATCTATTTATTCCATTCAGTAAGAAAAATTTAATTACTTATTTT